ACCCCAAAACCCCAAAACCCCTTAAAACTAAATACTTAATTCATTTATAATTACATTTATCTAAAATAAATTAATAATAAAATGTCTAATTGGTTTGAAAGGTATGATCAAGAAACATACCTTACCTAATTCTAGCAAATAAGATATCAGAATTACAATCCAGTATCTGAGAACAATACATTTTAAAGAAGCAATGCTTTTGACTTAATAGTTTAGTAATTCCGCTAGTATATTACCAATCACATGGAAATAAAGAAAGTAATTGATCCTCTTTCAGAAATATGCCTCTCAAGTGTCATGAAATAATTGGATATGATCAAAACTGTATTTGAAACAGAGGGGCTACTTGGAATGACTGAATAATTTACATCATACTGTGATAAGATCATTGACTTTGTAATTGCTGAGAAATTTTACATTTTTACTTGTGTTCACATGATAAATTCTAATAATCCTAGAGATTTTTACCGAGATAGATCGTTACTATCATCTCTAAGAATATTTTATTTCTTGGCATCATTAAAATAGACTATTGAAGAGTAAGTGTTTGGAAAAGACCTCAATCTAGACTCAATAAAAGAACTCTAGCAATATATGTTGGGTCTATTCGAGATATTGCTGGGGAAGCTAGAAACCTATTAGTATATTAATCCTAACATAATTTATGTATGTTAGAAGTCTAATACTATGATGGAACACTTGATTGATAAAGAAATTCATGGTGATTCAATTGTTAAGACTTTATAAGCTAAATTCTAATAGATTGTTGAAGAAGTCTCTGATGTAATGCTTTAAACTGTTAATGAATTAAGAAACATAATTTCCAGTGAGATAAGGAAACAGGGAAAGTCAAGAGATGGAAGTGCACATGAAAATTATAGAGGCTAATACGGTGGATCTCCTTATGAAAGTAATATGAGAAAGAATAATGGATTAGGGGGTAGATAATAGTAGTATTAAACAAGCAGAAATAAATCTGGGTCATCGAATGAACTGAGAGGTATGAATGAAAACATTTACAATTAAAAGTAAAACATGTATGGAAACAACAACTAAACGCCTACATCTGGAACTGAAAAGACAACAATACCGAGAGGGGTAGCTAGCTTATTTGGAAGAGATGTTGATCAAATGACTGTAGCGAAATCATTCATTACCTAAAAATCTAAATTAGGAAATAAAGCAGCTTAAATGATGATGAATAAGACTAATGTCATTAAGGATAAGAAGTTACTCAATGATGTAGTTTTGTAGGATGAAAACATCGATTTGGATAAGATTAAAAAATATTTCGAAAATGTAATAAATGAGAAGCACTTTTTGAATAACTATAGCAAAGCAAGATTTAGAAATTAAGCTGGAATGATTGCAGCTTCAGTAGATAATGAAAGCTTTCACTAGCAAAGATAATCTGATGTTCAAATAGCCAAGAAATTTTTTCGATAAGGCTTGACTATTCTTCCACAAAATCAATTGAGGCAAGTCTAGGAAAAAGCAAGAATGATAAACCCTTAGAAAAATATTTATTGGACTAAGATGAAAAAAGATATCAATAAAAGAGAAGCAAGCTATTCTCCAGGATAAAATCATAATGATGTATTAGCTCATTTGAGAAAAACTAATTTTAGAGGAAGTAACTTAAATGATCTACACTCAAGCAGAGATAATCACTCATCTGCAATAGGAAATATGATCTTTTAAGGAGTTGGTAGGCAGAAAACGGGCATAATCAAGGAACATGATCATATTTAAATCTATCGAGGCAATGATGTAATCCCAACTAATCAAGTCTACTATTCTTAACATGACTATCGACAAGAATATAACAACTAGCAAGAATCAAGTATGATACAGAAGGATAGGCAAGTTATTGATAAATCTAAGGGTGTTATGTAACATCATTAACAATAGATGTATAATGAGTATGGACATGAGGCTCTAGACACGAAAGAGTTTATTCCAATTGGTATGTAGTAACATTCTTTGAACAATCCAATGATAAATAGTTTAGCCTAGAAAATTGGTTAAGGCGCACTAATGAAAGAAGGAATCTTAGACAATCCTGTATATAAGTAGAATGTTTACTATCCATTCTTCAGTCAGATCGAGAAGAAGAAGAAAGAATTAGAGAAAAATAACAATCTTGTAGATGGTCTCTATAAGAAGATCAAGGAGTAATACACAGATAGACTAGCGAACTTGATTGTTAATAAATCTGATTCCGAAGAAGTTAAAGCCATTCTGGGTGAGTACTTTATGGAACATATGGATGCAAGTGATGACTAAAATGAGGGTAAATAAAAAAGTAAAAACCGAGAAAACAATAAGAGCTCACCTCGAGACAATTCAAAGTAAAGAATAAAGGGCTTCAAGTTTCAAAAGAGCGGTAATGCAAATAGGAGAAGAGATGCACATGGCTAAGATTTGATTGAGAATCAGATATTAACTTTAAGATAGAAGGGTAAAATAAATCCAGACTTATTTAAAAAGACTAGTAGTGAACTATCCTTGCAAATTAAAATCTAATAGTCTTAAAATAAAGAGAGAGATAACCAATAATCTTTTGGCAAAAAAGATAGAAATCACTATAAAGCTACTTAGAATAAAAAATACAATCATTAAAACCAAATAGGAAGCCAGCTGGATAATATATATGGCGATGATGAAGATGATGAATTGTTGTTTCAAGGAGATTTAATAAATCGTGGTCCAGAAAATGAATTTTCAGATGAGAGTTTATTCGGTGAAGATTAAATTAAGGATCTTCTTGAGAAGAAATAAAGCTTCTAGAGATAGGCGAATGCGGCAAGTACTAGTAATTTTGGAGAAAGTTTTATAAGAGATCAGTAAAATAAAAGTAGCAGTAGTCCACTCTAGCCTACCTCGTTTATAAGAAGCATTAATGGTTAGAAAAATTATTACGGCGCAGGAGGAAATGCAACTAATAGAAACTCTCAATAGCTAGAAGAAATGAGCAATAATATGATAAATAATACAAACAAAGGTATAGGCGAAAACATAAAAAACTAAAAGTATTGATCTTATAAAAGAAGAAAAATATGAAACAATGAAATATGAAAAATTGATTAAAACTTAATTTCATGATTAATTGATTGATTGTTTACACAGTTTAATGGGGTTTTGGGGTTTTGGGGTTTTGGGGTTTTGGGG